TTTACTTCTATTTTGTGTCCATATATTTATACACTGTATGGTAAATTTTCTTTTAATGTTTTCCCTTCTCTTTCTTCTATTTCCTGTAATTCTTCTCAGTACTTTCATCTCTGCCGTTTCCATTATTCTTTGCGTTGTGGCTGTGTCGGGTCTTGTTTCTGCTGATGCCATCAATTTCTATTTTACATCTGGTTGGTTCTTTGCTGACTACTATTGTTTTAGTTTTTTGAGATGAGATTCTCATATTAAATTCTTTTGCTCTTATATTAAATCTGTGGACCAGTCTTTGCAAACTATCTTCATCTTGGGCTATTAATGCATAACAGAGTATTTTGATTTCTTTGTTTTCCATTTTGTATCCTCTCCGTTTGTTAACGATTTTCATGATATCATCCCCTTGTCTCGTTCCGCTGCCAATTTTTATAAGTTTTGTAAGTTGTCCATCTATTCTGACTTCCATTTTGTTCTTTTGATAGATGTTTTCGATAGTTTTTATAATATTTAGGGGATCTACTCTATTATACATAATATGGATTACATATTTCAGTCTTACTCTGTCAAATGGTGTCTGTAGGTCAATCAGACACAGAAATGCTGATCTATTATACTCTAGTGATTTCTGAGCAATTTGCTCTATAGCGAATATTGCATCTGTACATGATCTTCCACTAAAAAAAATCCGCTTGTTTATCTGCTAAACTGTAAAATTTTAGTTGTAAGTTTTAGTGAAGTATTTAACAAGTTTATACCACTGTAGTTTTCGGTTTGTTTTTATCTTCTTTTTTGACTAGTAGAATTAGTTCGCTCGTTCTCCATTCTTCCGGTATTTTATTTTGTTTTATAATTTTATTACGTAATGTTGGTAATTGTTCTGTCATTGCTGCTCCAAAATATTTCAGTACTCGTTTGGTATCTCGTCTTTACCTTCTGCTTTTCTATTTTTCAGAGTTTCAAGTATTTTCCGAACTTCCTGTACATTTATATTAGGTTCTTTATTTGTGGTAATATCTGGTGTTTCCGGTTTCAGCGTCGTTTGATCTTCTCCTGCATATAGCCTTTTTAGGTAGTCAATCCACGTATCCTTTCTTTGTGTTTTAGTTCTATTAGTTTCTTTACCCCTTATTCTTTGACCTCTTATGAAGCGCCCTATTTCCTTTTGTAGACCGTAAAAATATGTTTCATTTCTTTCAGAAAACGGTCGACGTGTATTTCAGGTAAGCTTTTTTATTTTCTTTACATTTTTCCTTCACTTCTCTGTACAAAACCATGGAGTTCTTCGCCTTGGCAAAGATTTATTTTTATTTATATTTCTTTCACCAAGAACTTTTTGGCCGAGGCTAAGATATAAGACCTCATTTTTGCCCAGCTTTCTTCGACTCCATCACTTTCTGTGATACATGTGTTTCTGCTTTTTTTTGGTTATTCTTTTTTGGAATAGGTATCTTGTGGAGTCATCCTAAAAGCTTTCGACTTTTATCTTTGTAGTGTATTCTGGTATTTTGTTCAATCAATCACATATATGTGTTTTCATTCGGATTTTGTACAATACCAATTTCTGATCGCTTCCTATTTCTGCTGATATTAGTGCTCTTACATTCAAGATTTATGAGGTCAATAATTCTCTATTCGACCGAATATAGCCCATCATAGATCTTTGTCCTCTACTGTTTTCAAAAGTGTATTTGTATTGTTCTTTTTGAAGGAAAAATGTATTATTAATATGTATCTCGTTTATGCCGCTGAGGTCCGTCAGAAGGTTTCCGTTTTAATTTCTGATATTTTCGTTATATCGCTGTTTTATTCCTGGAACTATATCATTGCCAACATAACAAATGATGAATATATAATGATTATATATTCATCATTTGTGGTCTCGTTTTTTTATAGTATGAAGGTGTTCGTAGAAGTTTTCGCTTGTGGTGGTATCTTTGTTGTTCTCTGGTGCATGGATTGCTATCACATTTAGAGATTTGATATTCAGTTTAATTTTTACACTTACTATTCTTTCCGAGCTATTTTTACATTCTTATACTTAATGTAAAAAATGTTTGTGTACTAACAGGGCGACTCCTTCTTTGGCTCTGGTTTCTTTCGCAACACCACTGTAAATCATCAGATAGTCATCTAGAATAAGTTGCCCTTTTCTTTTTTCTTTGTATCTTTTAGCCCACATATGTCTATATTTTTACAGGCTCTTTTGTAATTTCCTGTTCTCTTGTGTTTAAAAACTTAACGTACCAAGTACCGATACAAAATATATTTCTCGTTTACCATAAATTCGTTGTCCTTTTTCTCCCGTTAGTTGTCGTAATAAAATAATTCCTGTCCCGAGGCATAATCCTGTTTCTATGAACTGTATGGTTTTAAAGTCTATCAGTAGGGTGCTAAACTGGCTGTAGACCTCCTCCTTATTTATCCGGGCTTGGAACCGATAACAGTTCTGTCGAGCTACTGGATTCACCCAATAAAATTGCAGGCGGATTTGAGATATGTTACTGAAAAATGTTTTCATTCCTCTCTAGCGATGTACTTAATCTCCATTAATTCTTTGATTTATTTTACTGAGATGTTACTGAGATATGTTATTCATATCTCTTTAAGGATGTACTTAATCTCTATTAATTCTTTGATTTATTTTTTGTCCTTTTTCACATCTGGCACAAGTATTTTATTTTTCTTGGCATTTTACATTTACCTCTTTTTATACTTACTTTACTTTCCGTGTCTGGAACACCAACAGCTTTAAATTTTGTATTTCCAATGGTTCTCTCATCTCTGTGCATGATAGATGGTGACTATTTTAAACCGCGCTACAGTCGCAGGTAGCGTCCTCCTGGTATCCCCATTTCTTCAGGTTACTAGCACAACGTGAAATGCCAGTTCTTAGTATAGCGCTTTCCATGGGATACCTCTTTTGATAGATGAGTTTATTTTCTTTTTCTCAAACAGTCTCTTTTATTTCAGTTTTTATGATAGTATTCTAATTTTTTAAATTATTTTAATATTTTTCCCACTTGGTTCTTTTGTTGCATATAGTGCTTTAGCCTAATTTGATAATTTTTTCCTTCCAGTCATTAAATTTTCATGGTTTGTTTATATTTGTTTATAATAAAATTGTTTTCTTTCACAGTGAATTTTTCCAGTTTAATACTTGTTTCTAATGAAAATTTTTGTTTTTCAAAATGTAGTTATATCAGCGATTTGTGTCCGCTTGGTAAAAGTATAATTTTGTTGATCTTATTTACTGAAATGTGTTATTGTTTGTGTAGTCATTTTAGGCGCAGAAATTTTTAAGTGTTCTCCATTTTTATTTTGTATACTTTCACAGATTTACTTCATGCCTGGTACTATGTCGTTACCAAATCTTGTATTTATATCTTTTATGGTGATTAATGCAATTATTGTTTTTATTCTCACCATCTGTTTAAGATTTTCGAAATATTTAACTCTGATTTGTATTGGTAGCATTTTCCTAGCAACATGTGGCTATGTTATGTGGATTATGTTATGAGCAACAATATAGATTTTAATCTATATTGTTGCGTTTTTGTTTCATCCACTAGGATTTGCCTAGAGACGCAGTTAACATTTTTAATGTTATTTATTCCTCATCGTATGGTTTTATTGCTGTTGTTGGAGCTCTGGCATATATGAGTGAGGTATTGGCCTAACTATTTCTGTCCTGTGACCTTTTTGCCTCATTTAAATGATGCACATGTCCTTATGACAATTTAATCTATTAATTCTGTTACCAGTTTTTCCCTTGTTGTTTAATGCTGTAATATTACAGATTGCTATTATTTATTTATTTATGTTTACTCTTACTTCCAAATATTTCTTCGTATACCGTTTTTAGTTCTGTCCTTGCCAGGAGATAATCCTATCAAGAATCCCTCCTCATTTGTTCTGGCTGGGTAATTTGTATTGAACTCGAAATTTATACCTTATTAAAAATGTAGAATAATAAAGTTTTTTAAATGAATTTACTTATGATTAAATTTTACATGCTGACGAAGTTTAAGTAAAATATTCATGAAATTCCTCCATGACTAAATTGATCGATATTTAAATATATTTCAAGTTCCAAAATGTAGCTGCTGTAAAATTTGAAAATCTACTGCTAATACAATTATTGGCAACATCGCAGGAGTTAAGAAGTGTACGCAAAATGGTAAATACGGATCCCAAAAATGGTTTATCCTGCTGTGGAGTCCACTTACTCCTACATGTTGGTCGGAGTCTACATAGAGCGCTACTCAGATAATAATATACACGGTGTATATTCTACTGGAGTTAGTATAATACCGTTTTAGTACGGAGCCTACATTAACCGCTAGAAGTATATATATATATATTCTTTTTTTACTACTAAACAACACACACGAAACAACACTTCTCAATACATAAACAAATTTCAGTTTTTATAGGTTGACAGTTGACAGATAAACTATTTAGAACATGGCGGATCATAACGGAAATTTGGATTGCGAAAAAGCCCATCGTTTCGCTTCTTGTTGGGTGGTGTATTTTGTGATTATAGTATTATTGTTTATCTGTGGCGTCGCATAAGGCTGGAAAACTCTAGGAGTGGCGTCAAAATTGAGTAAATTACTGTTTCTGGTTATTTGGTTTTCAAATATTTTAATTAAACATCCAATATTCTTATTAGTAACTAAAATTTTTAGTAATATAAAAAATCAATATACAACCTAGTTACAGTGTATAAATAAATGTAATAAAGCTTGTAACAGAGTTAAAATTACTGTAAAATTATATTGGAAACACCTCAATGTTAAAAAAATTATTGTGTTTTAAAATTGTTTTAATATTATAAACTAAATTATAGTTTCTAAACTTTATTTTATTTATTTTGTTATCTAAAAATAGTTTATTTACTTGATTATTAATGGATTTTCAATATAAATAGTTTTATAGTCGAAAGAATTTTGAATACCAATAAAAAATTTTTAAATTACCAATACGTTTTTATTGTATTTCAGCTACGGCAGTATCAATTCACTCACACCTATTGGTAATTACAACTCGAAATTAACGAAATATAATGATTAACTTATTTTAAGTGGTTTAACGTAATAACATGTGATATTAAATGTAAATGTAACAATAAAAATATAAAAAATAAATGTCTATAAAGTAATGAATTCTTATTTAAAAAAGTGTTAAATGAAACAAAAAATGTTTACCTTTGAGAAAATGCAGATAAAAATAAATAGTATTATATAAATCATAATCAGTTTTTATAAGAACTATACATTAAAGTATATCGGTATTTAAAATGTATCAATTATTATTTAATTATTATTAATTATAAATTAAACTAGCGATGGTGGGCAAAAATATATTCTCTCTTCCGACTTTGGCATTAAAGTCTCCTGTTATTATTTCGATGTCTTTTTTGGGCACTCATAACAAAAGGTATTTTACAGGGTTGGTAGTAAACCCAGTTGGGTAGTTTTTGGAGGGCCATTTTACCATCTCTCGTAAGTTCCCGACCAAATTTCCACCTGGTTGGATACCGGATATCCGGTTTCCACTTGGGTTGCTCGGTTTAGAGGGGACACCTGCGTGAAGGTGAGATGAACACTGAAGATGGAATATTTACTTAAAAAAGAATAATTCTCAGGAGTTGGCTGTATAGCATATAGTTAAAAAGCTTGGACATCGAATTAAATGGTGGTTATGTTTAAATGGATTAAACCATACTTACAATTGTTAAATTATCTGGCAATATACCGATAGACTTAGATTGCCTACAGTGTAAATTGGTCCCTACTCAAAATAGTTTTCTACATTAGAACTGTAAAAATGTTAAATGGTATTTTAAAAAATGCCCATTTCAAAAACGTTCTGTGATTTAGCCCGAAAAGGTTTTTAAATAAACATACCTTTTTTAAATGAGAAGATAAATTATTTGTCTACATATTCTGTAATCAAAGTAACATTTATATGCCACCATATAAATTTACCATATTTTCATATAACTTTGGTCAATTTTAATAATGCGTGTGCTTTTAATCTCTAAGTATACAAACGGTAACATGAATCAAAACACAAATTACAATCTGACTCATCGCATTCCGTGAGCTTAAAACAATTTGGAACTTATTTTAAATCAAAATCATCTAAATATAACCTCTCCCACGTTACCAGATATGAATCAACAAACGTTTTAACATTATCATTAATTCTGAAAACAAAGCGTTAATAAGTGGTACGAAATAGTATCAAGTAAGTATGGTTGGAAGCTTTCCAAAAATTCGTGCGTATATTTTTGCGTTAATTTTGAACAAAACGTATTAGTAAGGTGAGCTTTGTGTGGATAGGTGTGTCATATATACTTTAAAGGCAAAACCAAAATAGTAAGTATATTGAATGTTTTATTTTATCATATTTTACATATTTATAGTAATATTATATATTACTATTAATTCATTAAAAGCTTTTTATTCGATTTTATACAAAATAAATAGACTTTAATAATTTTTTATTATTTATACTTCATTACTATGATTTACTTTAATCATTTTTAATTTCTTACAAATTAGAGAGGACTTGAGAGATCCTTGTCTGTCTATTTGTTCATCTGTCCATCCATATCTCTGACTGTCTGTCTATAATATGTTTGTGCAATAATACTTGAAGAAAACTTATGAGCTACTTTATTGAAACTATTCTACATACTGCAATACGTTCCTATTGGTCCAAGGAAGAACCTCGTTGAATTTGTAATAAAAAGTCATCAAAATTCTAGATAATTTTCGATAGGATTTAGGCACAATAGAAATCCCGATAAAGTTTCTTTTTCCATCTTATTCAAAGATGTTAAGACATCATTCATGACATTTACATCTGCTTTATAAACCACAACAGCCGTCGGTGGGATTCTTCTTCTTCTTCTTTTTCTTCTTCTGCTTCTTCTTCTTCTTTATAAGCAATTATGCTTATTCATTGGCGGATTAATACATTTATTGAAGGTTGTCACTCCATCTTTTGCGCAGTCATCCGATAATTCTGCCGAGTGGTGAAGAATATGCCCCTACTGCAGAAAATAAATATGACAATGATGTCGAATCATTCTATAGCCAATTAAAACAGACACTTAAAAATCTAAAAAGTAACGAAGTCACATATATTATTTGAGATTTTAACGCAAAAATTGGCCAAGGCCGAAGATCTGACCTGGTAGGTGAATATGGACTAGGGAAGAGCAATGAAAGAGGCGATAGATTATAACAGTTCTGTCAAGAACATGACGTGATAATCGCAAATACATGGTTCAAATTACACAAAAGAAGGTTATACACATGGAAGGGATCAGAAGGGACATATCCTGGTGCAGATATCGGTTCAGACCATAACCTGTAATAACTGACATCAAAGTGAAGCTCAAAAAAGTCAAAGAAAGCTCCAAAACACCAAAATAAATATTTCAATATCCAACAAAACGTTAATAGAAAATGACTTAAACAATGAGCTAAAGAAATCAATAAATGAAAACAGCACGGAAATATGGAACACATTTAAAGATCTTACCTTGAAAGTAATAGAAAAATATTCAACAACGTTACACATTCACAAAAAACAACAATGGATGACTGATGAAATCCTGGAATTAATGGAGCAGAGAAGGAAACTGAAAGGTGGCTAAAACCAAAAAAAAGGTGGCTAAAGAAAAATGAATGGAGGATAAATGCAAGGAATTAGAAAAGTTGAATGAAAAACATGATACGTTTAATATGTTTAAAAAAGTTAGAGAAGTAGCTGGTCTTTATCATAAGAAAACTCCACATACTATAACCGATTCGTCAGGAAAAATGATAATATACGAACATGAAATTCGAACAACCTGGTGTAATTATATAAGTGAACTGTATAATGATGATAGACCCGAAGAACCGGAGACTTTAGTTGAAGGTGAAGGACCAGAAATACTAAAATCAGAAATACTGCATGCTATAAAGTTAGCAAAGAACAAGAAAGCCGTTGGCCCTGATAACATACCGACAGAGATGTTAAAGCTTATAAATGAGGAGAACATTGGAATACTGGTCAAACTTTTCAATGATGTTTATTCGACTGGTGATATCCCTGAAGATTGGTTAAAGTCCGAATTCATAACACTACCAAAAAAACAACGTCCGAAAAACTGTAGCGATTATAGAATGATAAGCCTTATGAGCCACACTTTAAAAATATTTCTACGCATCATCCACAGTAGAATCAGAGATAAATGTGAAGCAGATCAGGATGAAACACAATTTGGCTTCAGAAATGAACTGGGAACTCGGGACGCCCTCTTTGCACTAAATGTATTACTGCAGAAATGTCGAGATCAAATGAAAGACGTCTTTGCTGTATTTATTGACTATGAAAAGGCCTTTGATCGAGTACAGCATCACAAATTAATTACAATATTAAAAGATAAAGGAGTTGATAGTCAAGACATACGATTCATAGAAAAGTTATACTGGCGTCAAACAGCGACAGCTTGCATAAACGGAAAATCAACAGAAATATGTAAAATACAAAGAGGTGTCAGATAGGGTTGTATACTATCCCCACTGTTATTTAATTTATATTCAGATAGAATTTTTAGAAAAGCGCTGCATAATTTGGAATGGGGCGTGAAAGTTAATGGAATTCTGATAAATACAATCAGATATGCAGACGATACAGTTATTTTAAGTGATGACATAAATGGATTACAATGCCTTTTAAATGCCATTGATACTGTGGGAAGAGAGTTTGGTCTAAACATAAACTGTTCAAAAACAAAACACATGGTGTTTAGCCGTTTAGCACATCAAGATGCACGATTATATGTTGATGGTCATATAATTTCAAAGAGTGTCCAGTTTTAAATATCTTGGTTGCCATATTACTGAACAACTAGATCCAGATCAAGAGATAAAATGTAGAATCGAGATAGCCCGCACGACATTTTTAAAAATGAGGTCATTCTTCTGTAATGATAACTTGAAACTTCAACTTCAAAAGCGTATGGTTAAATGCTACATTTGGTCAGTCCTCTTATACGGTGTCGAAGCATGGACATTAAAAATATCCACCATTAATCGTCTGGAGGCCTTTGAAATGTGGCTGCACAGACGTATACTAAAAATTCCATGGACGGCTATGCTGACAAATGTGACAGTCCTTGAGAGAGCAAATGCTGCTCGCGAGCTGCTTGATAACATCAAATGTAGAAAGATGGCCTATTTTGGACACGTAGTAAGGGGAGACCGATATAATATTCTTTAACTTATTATGATGGGTAAAATCGAAGGACGCAGAGGAATTGGTAGAAAGTAGGCCTCTTGGTTGAAGAATATCAGAGAGTAGACAGGAATAAAGAAAGCTGAGCAACTCTTTAGAATAGCTCGAAACAGAGACAGTTTCGCCATGTTAATCGCCAACGTCAAGAGGACTTGATAGGGCACGTTAAGAAGAAGAAGAAAAATCATTAACACTTCTTTGGTATCTTAGATTCTAGACTTGTTAAATCATATTATTTTTTGTAATGGTTTTACATCTTTTAATTTTTTTTATCAAAACTGAAGTCTATTTTTTTTTCTTAATTTATTTCTCTTGTTACACAACATTCTTTATTAATTCAATTTTGATTAATATAAAATACATTATAGTAAGAAATGGTTAGGCTGGAAACAAGATACGATCCTATCCACGGATATGATTACACTTATTGGCCCGATTCAAGATATTTTAGAGATTACCGATTTTCTCCACCAATTACGTGGGCGGATGACTGGAGTAGTAGATCACGAGTATGGTTCCCGTACTACTGGTCAACTCGTAGACTATTCCAACATTATATGGACTACCGACCTTCCTCAAGGTCTCTTCGATCTCAACGAGTAAGTTAGCTTTTTCTCATAGTGTTTATATGTTTCGGATATTAACTACAGTGATAGAAACTTGCACTTGTTGTATGCAGCAAATACGAAATTATTATAAAAAAAGGCGTCTGATCAATAATTCAAGACCCGGAATAGGAACTCTTACCAAGTCAGTATTCCAGATCGACCTCGGTTCTCTGTCTTGGTTTACAATGTTTCTTAACTTTTGGTGGTGTTTCAACTCCAGCGTTCATCGATGGTAGTTTTGGACAGCTGGTGG